GGGAAGGTAGTTCTTAAAATAAAAGGCCTATTGACTAGCACTTTGTCTATTACAGTATAAAGGTTAGGAACCACAAGATGTAGAGGCTCAATTATGTCATTTATTGTTCTTAAGTTCTGGAGCAAATTCCATCTACCACTGGGTTGTTTACAGCTCGGAAGTCTGCATGCAAGGCAGTGGTGAAGTAAGGAACTGCTTATGATGTTTTCTGCTTGTGACTCATAGTGACCCTATGTACAACAGCCCTAAACCCTGCTCTGTCCTGTGCCAATCTCAGTCTCTGACATTCCCATCCTGATTACCCCAGTCACTGCATCAATCCACCTCATAGAGGGCCTTCCCCTCCTGCACTGTCCTTCCACCCTACCAAGCATGATGTCCCTCTTCAAGGACTGGTCCTTCTTTACAACATGTCCAAAGTATATTAGATGGACCCTCAGAATTCTCGCCTCCAAGGAACCCCCCAGTTTAACCCTCTCCAGGATGAATCTGTTTGTTTTCTTGGCAGTGCATGGTACATTCAGTACTCTTCTCCAGCACCACAGCTCAAAGGCATCAATTCTCCTTCTGTCGTCCAACTCGCTGATGCATAACAAGTGATAGCAAAGACCATGGCCTGTATCAGGTGGACTTTAATCTCCAGAGTGTGACAACCTTGCTCTTCAGTACTTTGGAGAAGTCCCTAACAGCAGACTTTTCCATTGCAAAACATCTTTTATTTTCCTAGCTACTGGTGTCGAGAGTGTTGACTGTGGAGCCAAGCAAACTAAAGCTGTGAACAAGCTCAGTCTCTTCACCATCCATCCTGATGCTGCCGATTGGTCCAGTGGTGAGAATCTTTGTCTTCTTGACATTGAGCCTCAATCGATATTGTAGGTTGCAGTCCTTGACCCTCTGCAGCGAGCACTTCAGGTCCTACTCAGTTTCAGCAAGCAGAGTTGTGTCATCAGCATAACGCAGATTGTTGTTAAATCATCCACCAATCCTGACACCACACTTCTCATAGAGCCCAGCCTCCCAGATAATCTGTTCTGCATACAGGTTGAAAAGGTATGGGGACAGGACACATCCCTGGTGTATGCCCTTCTCTATTTTGAACCATGCAGTGTTTCCTTGCTCTGTTCTGGTGATTGCCTCTTGGTCCAAGTATAGGTTTCGCATTAGCATGATCAAGTGTCTGGGATTCCCATTCTTCTCAGAGTCAGCCACAGTTTGTTATGATCCACACAGTCAAATGCCTTTGCATAATAAATGAAACACAGATACGCATTCCTCTGGTATTCCCTGCTTTCTGCTAAGATCCATCTAACATTAGCTACTGATGATTATCCAAAAATGACTGGAACAGCATATCAGCAGAGGAGTTTCAGTAGTCCAGGCTGGGTTTAGAAGGGGTCATGGTACTAGGGATATTGTAGCTGATGTTAGATGGATCTTAGCTGAAAGCAGGGAATACCAGAGGAATTCGTATCTGTGTTTTATTTATTATGCAAAGGCATTTGACTGTGTGGATCATAACAAACTGTGGCTGACTCTGAGAAGAATGGGAATCCCAGAACACTTTATGGTTCTAATGCAAAACCTATACTTGTACCAAGAGGCAGTCGTCAGAACAGAGCAGGGAAAGACTGCATGGTTCAAAATTGTGAAAGGTATACACCAGGGATGTGTCCTATCTCCACACCTTTTCAACCTGTATGCAGAGCAGATTCTACGAGAGGCTGGACTCTATGATGAGAAGTGTGGTGTTAGGATTTGTGGAAGATCTATTAACAATGTGCATTCTGCAGATGACATAACCCTGCTTATGAAACTGAAGAGGACCTGAACTGCTTGATGCAGAGGGTCAGGGACTGCAGCCTTCAGTATGGATTGAGGCTCAATGTCAAGAAGACAAAGATTCTCACCACTGGACCTGTTGGCAGCATCAGGATGGATGGTGAAGAGATTGAGATTGTTAACAAATTTAGTCTGCTTGGCTCCATGGTCAACACTCTTGACACCAGCAGCCAGGAAATAAAAAAAACATATTGCGATGGGAAAGTCTGCTGTTAGGGACCTCTCCAAAGTACTGAAGCTCAATGGTGTCACTCTGCTGACTAAGGTGCGTCTGATACAGGCTATGGTCTTTGCAATCACTTCTTATGCATCAGCGAGTTGGACAGTGACTAAGGATGATAGAAGGAAAATTGATGCCTTTGGGTTGTGGTGCTGGAGAAGAGTATTGAATGTACCATGGACTGACAAGAAAACAAACAGATTCGTCCTGGAGAGGGTTAAACTAGGCTGCTCCTTGGAGGCAAGGATTCTGGAGCTTCATCTCACATATTTTGGACAGGTTGTAAGGAGGGATAGGTCCTTGGAGAGGGACATCATGCTTGGGAGGGTGGAGGAATGGCACAAGAGGGGAAGACCCTCTATGAGGTGGACTGATTCGGTGACTGGGGTAATCAAGATGGGTGTTTCAGAGGCAGGGCGTTTGCCACAGGATAGAGCAGAGTTTCGGGCTGTTGTACATAGGATCACTATGAATCGCAAGTGATTCAACGGCACATAACAACAGCAGCAACAACAGAGGATGTGGATACTAACTGGCTTAGCACCACTCCCTTTTTTATTACTTTCCTAGAAGCCGGTACGTGGGGAGATGTGAGACATGGGCCAACTAGCTAAGAGTTGAGAAAAGTGATTGAGTTGTAACCATGCCACATTAGTTACTTACTCCTAGAAAATTGTTTGTACCTAAGTCAGTGAATAAATGCTTAAGTTTTTCCATTATGACAAAGAAAAAAAAATCTGTCACCAAGTTGATTCTGACTCATAGTGAGCATTGCTTGGATTTCTGAGGCTATAAATCTTTACAGTAGATTCTCTGCCTTTATCCGTTGATGGATTTGAACTTTAGCATTTGATGGATTTGAACTTTTGACCTCTCGGCAGCTAGACACAACCTATGTTACACACATGCAATACCACCAGGTTCTACAAAGTAAGTTCAACTGAGCAATTTCCCCAAGTCAATGTCAGGTTACTACCAAGGCGGAGTTGATTTTAACTAATTAGTACCCATCTTGCATTTCAGAAGGTGTCAGTCTAAATGAGAAGGCCTTCCACGGCACCTTGGAATTTAAGAATGTGGATTTTGCATATCCAGCCCGTCCAGAAGTGCCCATTTTCCAGGACTTCAGTCTTGTTCTCCCATCAGGATCTGTCACAGCACTAGTTGGTTCCAGTGGGTCGGGCAAGTCCACAGTGGTCTCACTCCTGCTGAGGCTGTATGACCCCCATTCTGGTAAGTGTCTCTCTACAAGATGGAGCATGAGTGCCTGCCTACCATGTCTAGAGTTGCAGGGAATCTCCTGGAGTACTTTTCGGCTTCAGGGCTGAGCCCCAGGCCTGAGCATGGCTGCTTCTTCCCAGAAGTGTCCAAGAAGTCCAGTGCAGCCTCAGGTCACTGCTCATATTACCTTTCCATGACTTGTGCAAAGATCATTGGACAGACAGTCATTCACTGCTGTGTGACTAATCATTGAGCTGACTGGGATTTCTTGAATGGCTTTTTATCTTTCTGTTATATTTTTTCTTTTTCTCCTTAAGTGGATTGTAACATCTTTAAAAGCAAAAACGTTCTTTCTTTGGTTTTTTTAATGAAAACAAAGAAATAGATTTATTGGGAAAAATACTTGGCAAAGGAAATATGGAGGGATTAGACAACACTAGTCCCTCACTTCCCAGATACTCTTATGTGCTGCTCAGGGCTTGGCATGGAACACTTTGCCCAGAGTGAACGTTCTGTTGACATGCATTATATCTTGGCTTGAAAATATTAGTTTCTTTTTTTTTTTTTTTGAAAATATTAGTTTCTTAGCAAGCAAACAACTGTTAATAAAAATCAAGTCATAAATATATAGAGTGTGTTTTGTGTCTTTGTACCCTGTGGTTTTGGTTAAAATAATTTAAAAGCTGGTCAACTGCTAGATAATTATTTAACCCATGGATTGACTGTCATTGCACTGTCATTGAGTTGGAACCAACTTACATCGCATCCTCTAGCAAGTTTCAGAGGCTGTAAATCACATGGGAGGAGATTGCCCATCTTCCTCCTGTTGAGCTGCTGGTAGACTCAGCCCTTAGAGAAGTCTGGTCTTTGGTTAGCAGTGTAGCTCCCTCTGGACTGTCCCCAGAGCTCCTTGTGGACTCACATGTTGTCTTAAAATGGTCTTTGTAAGAGTGTTTGCCTCTGAAATCACTATTTTGCTTTCTGTTTACTTGCTATAATTAGCTGGATATAAATCATGTAAAAATACTGAGTCTGGTTTTTTCATCACTGTAAGCAAATCAAGAGAAACAGCTCTGGCTGCCTTATAGGTAATTTGTCTGTTTTCAGTCTGAGACCTGCACATTTTCCCTGTTTAGAAAAGGTGACAGGAGACAGATTTGTTTATTCTTTTGGCATTCCATAGAATATTCAATACTCCTCTCCAACACCACAATTCAGTCATCAGTTCTTTTTCTGACATCCTTTATGCCCAACTTTCAAATGCATAAGAAGCAGCTAAAAATACCATGGCTTGTGTCAGGTACTCCTTAGTCTTTAAATTGATATCCTTGCTCATTAAACCTACACCTTTGTTCATTAGCACTTTGGAGAGGTCCTTTAAAGTAACATCTTTTTATTTCTTGATTGCTACTACTATGAGTATTGAGTGTCGATCCAAGTAAAATGAAACCATTTTACGATGACAACTTTAATCTTGTGATGACAATAGTGGGAAAAGGTGCATTCTTCTCTTTTGTCCATGTGCCATATCTCCCCTAAATCAGGGCAATAACTCCCCGTCTAGAAACCAGGTGACTGGCAGTGTTCCCTCTCCTAGCCTCAGCCCAGCCCCTACTCTACCTTAGACCACACCACACCTTAGTACTTCTGGAGCTAAAGCTTTCAGTATTCTTCCAGGACCTGTGGACTCTGCCCATTTGGCCTGCAGGCAGTCCCCAGATAGTGAAGGCCTCTCTTCTGACTGGGACCTTTTCTATGCACTGGGCACCCATATACCACACCCTCCATGGCCACATGTAGGGTGAGTCATCCTTGTACATCTCAGATCACCTGTGAGTATCTTCATGCTGGCTATCTGTGACTTGGTACCCTACCTGCACCTGTCCCCTAGACTGGGAAAGATACCATCTTCAGCCAGATGGACTAGCTCAGGCTCCTCTGAGAGCAGCAGAAACGGCCCCAAGCTGGGAACCTTACTGCCTCAAGAAACTCTAGACCAGAACCTCTGTATCCAGCATTGTTCCTCTATTGTACTTAGGTGGTTTTCAAAGTCAGAAGTGTCAATCCTTGAGGGTCTTCCCCTCCTTTGCTGACTTTCCACTGTTCAGAGAATGATGTCCTTTTCCAAGGATTGACCCCTCTAACAACATGCCAAAAATGTGTGAGACAAAGTTTTACTATCCTTGTCTCCAAGGAGCACCCTGGCTGCACCTTTTACAGGACTTATATATTTGTCCTTTTGAGAGTCACAGACAGACTAGGAAGTCTTTCTAAATCTGGAAGCCCTGCCAAAACATGTCCACCACAAGTGGCCCTGCTGGTATCAGAAATACAAGTGTTATAACTTCCAGCATCACAGCAATGTATACCTGCTCCATCTTCACCAGAGATCCCAGCCAGGCAAAGCATTGTTGTTGTTGTTCTGTGCCGCCCAGTCGCCTGCAACTCATAGTGACCCTTTGTATAAACTCTGAAGCCTGCACTGTCCTGAGCCTGTCTTACTGACTCAGAAACACCTATCCCCACTACCCCAATTACTGTGTCAATCCATCTCATCTGGGGTCTTCCTCTCCTGTGCTGTCACTCCATCCTTCCAAGGACTGGTCCCTCATGGCTACATGCCCAAAGTATGTGAGACAGAGCTTCAAAATCCTAGTTTTCATGGAGAAACTTGGTTTCATGCTCTCCAAGACAGACTTATTTGTTTTCTTGGTGGTCCATGGTATGTTCAAGACTCTTCTCCATGTGGTTGCACACCACTGTGGAAGGCAGTATGGCACTTTCTCAAAAAGTTGCAAATAGAGATACCACTGGACCCAGCAATTCCACTACTGGGAATATACCCCAAAGAGACCATAACTGACATCCAAGCAGATATATGCACACCCATGTTTATTGTGGCTTTGTGCAAGGAGTTGGAAAGAACCTAAGTACCCGTCAACAAACAAATGGATAGAGAAGCTGTGGTATGTTCACACAATGGAATACTATGCTGCATTAAAAAACAAGGAACTCATGCAATATTATTCAAAATGAGTGACTCTGGAGGACGTTATGCTGAGTGAAGTATCTCAGTCACAAAAGGACAAATATTGTTGTAAAACAGGACTGACCTTGGGGTTGGGGAGAGACTGAGAAAGATGGGTTCAATAATATATATTGCATTGAAACCGATGAGGGAGAGAACTGTTTAAGGGGGGTATGTGATTGGGTATTTTGTCATGACAGGAGTCCAGAGCGAAGGCTGCATGGTGGAGTGGACCTGGGGGGAGGGACTCTAAAACAATGAAAGAATTTTTCTTTTACTTTTCCAAGAGGGTAGTGTACTAGGGGGAAGGGTTGGGAGGGGAGAAAAGTGCAACAATGAATAAATGGAAATTTAAAAAAAAAATACTCTTCTCCAGCACCACAACTCAAAGGCATTTATTCTTCTTGTGTCATCTTTAGTCATTATCCAGCTATCTGATGCATAGCAAGTAATTGTGAAGATCATGGGCTGGATCCGGTATGCCTTAGTCTCTAGACTGACATCATTGTTTCTCAGTACTCTGGAGAGGCCCTGATAGCAGGTTTACCTAATGCATTTCGTCTTTTGATTTTCCTCACTGCTGGTGGTGCCCAGAGTGTTGATTGTGGTGCTGAGCAAGCTGTAATTGCATTACAGTGAATTGTATCCTAATGCAACCACAGCATTAGGGTATAATTATTTAATACCTCTACCATACTTTTACATTCTGAGTTGAGGATAGAAGATTCACACAGAAAATGTAGAAGGTTCACCTCTAAGTTTATCCAGAAAGTGCATTCTAAAGAGTGATAAAAAACTTCAAGGTCACTCACAGGATTCACAAAATAGATTGTCGAATGAACTTCAGGACACTTTCTGATATTTCATTGCACATCTGAGCCTTCAAGGTTTTTACTGACCCCACATGCTCAGGAAGCAGCAAGGTTAAGCCAACAAAGGCAAGTAGCAGCTTTATCATATGCTGCCTCTGCCAACATATGAGCACCTCACACCTTCTCCTCCCTCACAGTTCTTTTGGGAATCAGAGCCATGCTGAGGAGGTAGGAAGTGTTCTACAATCTCTGGTATTGGAAGTGAGTGTGGTGGAGGGGATAAGTGGGTCGTCCTTCAGCCATTACAAGAACCTAAGAGTTTAGGTCATCCAAATGCTCTTTTTACTTTGAAATCTCATAGTTGCTTTTAGATTCTGTTCTTGAAATCTCATAGTTGCTTTTAGATTCTGTTCTGAGGTTTGGGGTCCATCTTTAAAGTTTTGGACTGCTGAGTCTAGTATTTCACTACCTGTGTATTTATATTAGTCCTATGACACTCTGTGACCCTTTCCTTTCTTTGCTTCAAGGGACTGTCAGTCTTGATGGCCATGATATCCGTCAGCTAAATCCAGTCTGGCTGAGATCCAAGATTGGCACAGTGAGTCAGGTAAGAGGAGATGGCTCCATTTTTATTACACATAATTTTTCTTCATCTTTTTATATTTGTTTTCTTCTTGCTCTTGAGTATGTCAAAAGAGGGAATAGAAATTTTCCGTATGTTCAACTCATTTTGCAGTGCACACTATTTAGGTATTAAAAATACTGCTGTTTCTGAACATACCAAGCACTTTTGGCAGTTGAAAGCATTTTTTGTCAGAAGCTAGAGAATGGCATTACTTTTTGATGCAGACAGCCTAGAGAGTGATAAAGTTCCTTGGCTACTTCTCTTCCTCCTAAGTTTTCTGTTTTCATGACTCAGAAAGCAAATAAAAATGAAACCTCATACCCATTGCTATCAAGTCAAAACCAATTCATAGTTTCCTTTCAGGCAGGTTTTCAGACACAATAAATCACATGGGAGGAGACTGCCCATTTTCTCCCATGGAATAGCTGGTGGATTCAGTCTTTGGTTTGAGAGCACAAGTCTCTACTCTCTAGGCCACTAGAACTCCCTCACCTTAGTGTGTTTTAGGGATCCGCAAACAAAGACAGTGGACAAAAATCAGGGATCCCCTTTCAAAGAGCTTGATTATTTCAAAGTAGAGCATTCATTTAATGTGATCATTTTGTGAGGCTATTTTCCCAAGGCTATTTCATGCAGTTCAACTGTCATTTGCATATGAGGCTATTGAAAATATTTTTACTTGTGTCACAAAGTCCTCAAAATAGCATCCTTGTTTTTTAGCACTTTAGAATGGTCTTTGGCAGCAGATTTGCTGAATGTTATACATCATTTGATTCCTTTATAGCTCCTTTCATGGACCAAATACATTATCAGGAGGGACCAGTCCCTGAGAAAAGATATCATATTTGATAAGTATCAAATGGTTTGTGTATTTTCAGTGGGCAGAGCTGGAGTATCTCCTTTGTCCTTAATAAAGGCAGACAACTTATAAATGCAAATGAACACAGGTTGTCCTTATGCATCCTAAGGGTGCTGTAATATCAAGGATTTATTGTTCAAAAAGAGATTCCTAGCCGAGGACTTTGATTTTTACAAGTGTGAGAGAATAGGATCTGTATAAAGTACTTATTATGAGATTGTCTGATTTTTTTTTCCCTGTCCTACCAAGTTAAATTGAGTGAATTTAGCAGTAATGGTGTGAATCTCACTACCAGCAAGGAAGAAGATATAGAGAATATAGCTGTGTTCTTTGGGGCCAGAGATTCCTGTGCCAGTTGGACCAGGACCTGCACAAGAGTAGCAGCAACCTCAGTAGAGAAACAGAGATTAAGATAAGAGAGCTGACTTGGGATTGCTGTCTCACAGAGCCAGAGCCAGAGTTCTTCACCCAGATTGTTGGGAGATTGAGGAAAAATGCCGTATTTGACAAGACTGATGGAACTTTGTCACACTGATCTAAGCCACGAGGTGGAAGGTCATAGGGCCTGCAGATACACTGGAGAAGCTGTCAAGACTGAGGAATTGTATCCTCCAGCCAACCTGCATTGTAACACATTAACTTTTCTAATAAATCCTATAACCATGAGTATGATTCTGAGAAGTCTGCATGGTCATTGCAGTTGATTTCAGACCCAGTAGAGCAGTAAGATTGGTGCTGGAGTTAGTAAATGTAAGTGTAGGAGCATGGAAGAACTTGTCTGAGCTTACAGGAATTAGTTTTCTTCTGTGAATGTTGTTGATGGGTGCTGGTACTCAGCACTGCTTTGACTTCTCTAACAACTGGCAAGTTGGTATAAACCCTTAACCAGGACCATTGTGATGGGTCGCTGGAGAGGAGGAAAGCTGCGCATGGGGCTATTTTATCCCATATGAATTTGCTGATAAGTTACCAAGAGTATTACCCTTACAAGTGCTTGAGAAGTCCAATCCAAACAATTTAGGGAGAATGAGGTTTTATTAAGTAATTTTGAAAAATTGGGCACCCAAACCTAGACAAAGTAGGCTAGTGCACCCTTCACAACCCATCAAGAGTTTTTATCTCCTTAGCTCTCAAGTCTTGTCCCTCGTTTCTCATTAGCTCACTACTATGGGATAAACAATCATTCCCAGATGTCCCTATGCCTTATCACTTCTTTTTATGACCCTTCTCTCCTGCTTCTTCCCACTCATCCAGTTTGAGTTCACATTCCAGAAGCTCTGTTGTATGTCACATCACTTAATAGTTTGCTTCCTTTGAGTCAAGTTCTCCCTCCCTCCCTCCCCCACCCCTACCCCATTCACCCTCTTTGTTCTCTATTTATTGTGAATATGAACCAGTCTGAATCCTTTTTTTTACAGTGGGCACAGTTTCCTTTTGTGGGGTTAGTAGAGGCCATATATGGCCATGCCAATACTGTCTACACCCTTTTTATTTTTAAAAATTTTATTATACTAGTTTATTTACAAAATTCAAATACATTGTTTTTCACACCATATTCTTCCACTTTCCCTCAACTCCCACCACCACCAAATTGTACAACACCATGATTAATCCTCCCCCCCTCCCATGCACATCCACATCCCTCTGCTTCCACCCTCCTCCCCCTTGAATCCTCATACTGATTCTACAATATTGGTTTTATACTATATTTGTCCTTGTGGTACTGAATCAGTTCACTCAGCATAATGTTCTCCAGTCCCTCCCAAGTTAGGTAATAATTTACAAAATCATTGCTCCTGCATGCTGTATAGTATTCCATTGTATAAATGTACCATAATTTCTCAATCCATTTGACTGTGGTTGGACATCTCAGCTGTTTCCATGTACTTGTGATGGTGAATAATGCTGCTATGAACATTGGTGTACAAGTCCCCATTTGAGCCTCAGTTCTCATTTTCTCAGGTTATATTCCAAGCAGCAGAATAGCTGGGTCATAAGGAATTTCTAAGTTCAGCTTTTTGAGGAAGTGCCAAACTGCCTTCCACAATTATTGTACCATTTTACAATCCCACCAACAATGTATAAGAGTTCCTATCTCACCATATCCTCTCCAACATTTATTAGTTGCTGTCCTTTTAAATTTTGCCACTGTTACTGCAGTGAAATGATATCTTATTGTGGTTTTGATTTATATCTCTCTTATTGCCAGTGATTTTGAGCATTTCTTCATGTGTCTTTTGGTCATTTAAATATCTCCCTCTGTGAAAATTCTTTCCATGTCTTTTGACCATTTTGTGGTTGGGTTAACAGTCTTTTCACTGTGGAGGTCCAGGAGTATTCTGTAAACTTTGATTATGAGACTCTTGTCTGAGATACTATTACCAAATGTTTGTTCCCAGTCAGTAGGTTTTCTTTTCACCCTGTTGGAAAAAGTTTTTGATGCACTTGTTGTTCTCAGAAGCCATCTAGTTGAGTACAACTCATAGCAACCCTATGAACAAAAGATCTGAAACCAGTCCTGTTCTGCACCATCCTCACTCTTCCTGACACACAAGAGACCATTGCAGCAGTTACCTTGTCAGTCTACCTGGTTGAGGGTGTTTCTCTCCTTCCCTGACCCTCCACCCTTTCCAACATCATGTCCTTTGCCAAAGAATAGCACCTCCTAGCAATATGTTCAAGTATGTGAGGTGAAGCCTCATCATTCTTGCCTCTAAAGAGCACTCTGGATGCACTCTCTCCAAGACATACCTGTTCATTCTCTTGGCCATCTATGTGATGTTCAGTGCTCTTCTCCAGCACCACAGCTCAAAGGTGTCAATAAACTAGTATAATAATGATAATTTTAAAAAAGCAGGAGTGACAATACTAATCTCTGATAAAATAGATTTCAGAATGAAAACCACCATCAAAGATAAGGAAGGGCACATTTCATACTGATTAAAGGCACAATAGATCAAGAAGACATAACCTTGGTCAATATTTATGCACCAAATGATAGACCTGCAAAATACATAAAACAATGGTTAACAAAATTGACAAAAGAAATAATAGCACCATGATAGTGGTAAGAGATTTAAACACACCTCTATCACCAAAGGATAGGTCAACTCAAAGAAACTCAACAAAGATACAAAAATCTAAACTATACAATCAGCCAACTTGACCTTGTTGGTGTATTCAGGGTTTTGTACCCAACTAAAACGCAACTGACTCTTTCTTTTCAAGTGTACCTGGTACATTCTCTAGAACCAATCATATATCAGGACACAAAAGAAGCTCAACAAATTAATAAACATCAAAATAATACAAAGTATTTTCTCAGACCACAAGGCCCTAAAACTAGAAATTAACCACAGAAGAGTAAAGCTTAAGAAACCACCTATGTGGATACTAAGTAACTCTCTGCTAGAACATGATTGGGTTATAAAAGAAATAAAGAATGAAATAAAAAAGTTCCTTGAAACAAGTGATAATGAAAAAAAAACTTACCAGAACCTCTGGGACACAGCTAAAGGCAGTCCTCAGGGAAGTTCATAGCAATAGACACACACATAAAAAAGGAAGAAAGAAGAATAATCAATTATCTAATCCTACAGCCTCTGGAAGAAAAGAAATTATAAGGACAAGAGCTTAAATCAGTGAGACAGAAAATAGAAAAACAATTGAAATCATCAATAAAACCAGGAGCTGGTTTTTGGAGAGGGTCAATAAAATTGACAAAGCACTGGCAAACTTAACAAAAGGGGGAAAAAAAAGAGAGAATGACAGGTGACATCACAACAGAACCAAATGAAATTAAATCGATGATATCCGAATACTATGAAAAGCTATACTCTGATAAATTAAAAAACCTAGAGGAAATGGACAAATTCCTTGAAATGCCTACACTGTTTTCACAGATCTTGTTGGATGCTTTCGAGTGGACCACAGAACTATTCTATGAACTCTACATCCTCATAGTCTCATCAAGCACACTGCCAATTCATACTGTTGAGGGTCTTCCTCTCTTTCTCTGAACTTTCCAAGCATAATGTCTTTTCCCCAAGATCTTGTCCTGTCTGACAACATGATCAGAGTGTGAAGAAACCTCATTTGGATTGCACTGGGTACTGCTCAAGTATTCGGCTTAGTGGTGGGAGCTGCATGTGATTAAATATGATAAAAAGATCCATGGTAAAATACAAATTTCTGAAAATGCATCTGGTGACATTATAGAGAGATATGAAGCAATGTGATGAAAGGCAAAAAATGGTGAAGAGTCCTTTTTTTTTAAAGTGTAAGGACTATACCGAGCAAGCTGAAACTGTTCACAATCTCTATCTCTTCCCCATCTATCATGTTGCTGCCAGTTGGCCTAGTGGTGAGAATCTTTGTTTTCTTGATGTTGAGCACAGTCCATATTGCAGACTACAGCCTTTGACCCTCTGCAGCAAATACTTCAGGCCCTCCTCAATTTTAAGTTGTGTCATCTGCATAATGCAGGTTGTTGTTGCCTCTAATTCTGATGCCACATGCCTTCTCATAAAGTCCAGCTTCCTGAATGATTAGTTCCATATATAGATTGAAAAGTAATAGGGACAGGACACATCCCTGACACTCCCTTCCTGATTTTGAACCAAGATACTAAAGAGCTGAACAGAAGATTCCAAAAGGCAGCTTGGAATGAATGACAAAGCAAAATATTACAATGAAATGTGCGAGGAGCTAGAGTCGCAAAATCAAAAGGGCCAAACTCGTTCAGCATTTCGTAAGCTCAAGGAACTGAAGAACAAATTCAAACCTAGAGTTGCTATAATCAAGTATGCTTTAGGCACAATATTAAATGATCCAGGAAGTATTAAAAGAAGATGGAAGGAATATACTAAGTCATTGTATCAAAAGAAATTGGCAGATACAGAAGAATTTAATGAAATAACATTTGAGCAAGAGCCTGTGGTGATGAAGGAAGAAGTTCAAACTGCTTTGAAGGAAATAGCAAAAAATAAGGCCATAGGAATAGGTGGTATACCAATTGACATATTTCAGCTAACAGGTGCTGCCCTGGATGTGCTCACCAAGTTGTGTCAAGAAATCTGGAGAACAACCACTTGGCCAACTGACTGGAAGAGATCTGTATTTGTTTCCATACCAAAGAAGGGTGACCCAACAGAGTGTGGAAAATACAGAAAAATATCATTGATTTCACATGCAAGCAAGATTCTACTGAAGATTATCCAAAAACGACTGGAACAGCACAATCAGCAGAGAATTGTCAGAAATCCAGGCTGGGTTTAGAAGGGGTCATGGTACTAGGGATATTGTAGCTGATGGTAGATGGATCTTAGCTGAAAGCAGCGAATACGAGAGGAATGTGTATCTGTGTTTCATTGATTATGCAAAGGCGTTTGACAGTGTGGATCATAACAAACTGTGGCTGACTCTGAGAAGAATGGGAATCCCAGGGCATTTAATCATGCTAATGCAAAACCTATACTTGGACCAAGAGGCAGTCGTCAGAACAGAGAGGGGTAACACCGCATGGTTCAAAATTGGGAAGGGTGTACGCCAGGGATGTGTCCTGTATCCATACTTTTTCAACCTGTATGCAGAGCATTTTATCTGGGAGGCTGGGCTCTATGAAGAGAATTGTGGCGTCAGGATTGGTGGAAGATCTATTAAAAATCTGCGTTATGCAGATGATACAATCCTGCTTGCTGAAACTGAGGAGGACCTCATGCACTTGCTGCAGATGGTCAAGGACTACAGCCTTCAGTATGGACTGAGGCTCAATGTCAAGAAGACAAAGATTCTCACCACTGGACCAACTGTTAGCATCAGGATGGATGGCGAAGAGATTGAGATTGTTCACAGCTTCAATTTGCTCGGCTCCACAGTCAACACTCTTGGCACCAGCAGCGAGGAAATAAAAAAATGTATTGCGATGGGAAAGTCTGCTGTTAGGGACCTCTCTAAAGTACTCAAGAGCAACAGTGTCTCTCTAGAGACTAAGGTGCGCCTGATACAGGCCATGGTCTTTGCAATCACTTGTTATGCATCAGAGAGTTGGACAATGACTAGGGAGGACAGAAGGAGAATTG